GTTGAATTGAAATATTGATGTGGAGTATCAAAGCGTGGTGTAGCACTCCTGTGTTTCCAGAACTAACCACGAAGCGCTTTGATCAGATACTCCTGTGATCTAACTTCTGAAGTTGTTAAGAGAGCTGGAAAACAAAATGCAAACAAACTTCAAGTGCTCTTGGTATTGATAAAAGTTTTCTTTGACAAGCTGGGATGTTCACCGTCTGCCCAGGACTGGAGATTTTGGGGGGTTCTGTCGATGCAAATGGACAAGAGATGAGGGAGTTGATCTGGTTTTCTATTTCTCACACAGCCAGTGATGTGAACGGTGATAAAGGGGAGGGATTTACAACACATTGTCCTGCAGAGACAGCGAGGCAGAGGAGGAACGGTGCAAAAAAGATAACAAAGCTACAGTTGAATGGTTTATTCTGTGTTCATTCTGGTTTGAGTAATTTATCTTTTTTTTGTATTTTTTGTTACAATTGTGACATTAACAAAGCAGTAGATTTTGTTATGGATGAAGTTTTACAACAAATTTGTAGCAATGATGTAACTTTTTACCTAAAATCAACTTTTTACCTAAAATCAGTGCATATGACGTATAAACATTAATGTCAGATGGATAAAAAAAGGTCAAAAAAGTGTGAAAATGTGTTTTTTACAGTTGTCTTTTGAATGTTTTTATTCATTATAAGTTATATATTCACTTTAATTTTTTAGTTTTATTCTCTCTTGAAATGACCTCCAGCAGGTGGCGCACTACATGTACCTATGTGACCTATGCCGAAAGCTATCACTGCACATGTAACACCAGGAAATCTACAGAAGACTAGATTGATTGTTTCCTATCTTGCTAACCGCTAATAAAGTAAATTACAAACGGCTCAACTACGACTGTAAATTGTTTTGTGACAAAAAAAAAATTCACTTCTACAATAATAGCTTGACTTTGCATGTAAACGTGCTGACCGTCAGCGCTGACAGAGACGAGCTCATTTCTAAGTCAATAGGAAACAGGAAAGAGAGTCCTGAATGAGGGATCAAACTGCTGCCCTGTAAAGTCCAGCTGTTGTCGTTGCTGCCCATCCCAAAGACACTGAGTGTCATGGTAATTATGTCCCATCTTGTCCTGTCTTGGATTGCTGAATGGTTGCAGAGTGGAGCACTACAGTTAGCAGCAGGCTTTTACATGGTGCCAGTCCCATCCATTAGACCACATTTGTCACACGAGGGCCATTGAGTCAGTGCACTGCTATAAAACTGACTATTTGACATGGCCACCAGTACAAAGGCTGCTCTGCTCTGGGGCTGCCCTTTTTGACTACAGATGGTCAAGACAGCTGGGACAATTTGGTGATCTGAGGCTTTTAAACTGCCCCCCAGGCATGATAAAAAAAAACACAGCTTGAGCAGCTACTTGCATATTCTACGCTCTGAGCTTAAGTGTAAGATTATGTTGGCAACATAAACGACACTGTTTGTTTTGAACAATCGACCAAAGAGGAAAAGAAAGGAAGGTCCTCCCGGGAGGGAAGATTTCAGAACACAGAAGGAAAAGTCTTGTTTTTAAGTTGTGGAATTTAATCACAACGTTGGAAATCTAAAACATTTAAAAACCTGATGTTTGTTTGGTCATGTCTGATACATGACTCAACACTAAAGCTCACTGATTTAATAGATATAAAACTACACTGAAGATCATTTACATGGATGCAAATTTGACCTGTTTAAATACAATGTGTTTCTAATAATTACAGCTCCAAACGTGTCACATTATAACCCAGAGGAGCTCCACCAATCACAAGAAAGGAAATAAAACAGTTCACATAAATAGCGTGTGTATTGTAGCATCCAAATGACATGATGTGGTTCATTTCATCTTCCAAAAAGAACCCCGTCCATGCGTGGAGGAGAACCACCGGCTGCTTTGACTTATCAGTGGAACTCAAATGTCATCTGTATGCTAATGTGAATACACGCAGGTCTCGGTGGAACAAAACCTGCTCCTGATGCAAACAGAAAAAAAGGTTGATTCTGGGGTAATCAATGCAAGAATTTTTACTTTTGGCAAAACAAAAGATTTTAAGGGACATTTTCTGCCAAGAAAAACAGAATGTGAAAATCATTTCTCCTGAGTTTCTCCCAGAACATCTTGTGGGACAGACGAGTCCTAAATTCGGTCCGTGGGCTGCATCGTCGACACGACTGCTACGGAGATATTTACTGTAGCCGATCGTACGTATGTTCTTGTTTGGTTTTCTTTTTGAACTTGGGTCAGTTTTGATGTAGAAGGTTCTGGTACCTGTGTTAGCACACAGCCGGAGCAGACGGCTGTGAGTGTGTGAGTGTGTGTGTGTGTGTGTGTGACAGAGCAGGGCTTGATTAGCTGGAATCTCAGCAGCTGTTTAATGAACACAGGGACCTCTTTCTCTGGAAATGAGTTTTCCCTTGAAAACTCTGGAAGCCGTATCCAGGTCTATTTAAATGAGGTAACATGGGGAAGGTAAGCACCACCACATGAGCATTGTTTTCACAGTTCAAAGTGAGGAGAGAGTACTTTGCACTTCAAA